AGTATATGACTCGAGGTCATATGTGGACTATCAGCAAAGAAAAGCTGTCACTGATCTTATACTTAAAAGTAAAGATGAACTAGACGAAAACTTTAGTCTATGTATGCGCCAAGATGGCAGCACGCTTTTGGAACTTGCTCTGTTTAGGGGTCTTCAATTAACTTATTCTATGGTTTCAGCCTCCCACTACCAAGTTGCAAAGTGGTAAGAGCCTCTGCCACCTATTGAGTATCAATGGGGAATCCTTTCGCTAGGTACACGGAATTTCCCTGGCCTATTTTTCAGACCGTCATTGAAGCGTATCGAGTCTACAGTCTTTGCAATCAAATATTCGATTTCAAAACTCAGCAAACAAGGAAGCATAGTGCTCATACTTCCTGGACGCCTATTCTGGTTTGACCTCACGATTCATATGGATATTCAAAGCAACCCAGGACCCGAAAGGCCGGAAAACTCTCAAATAAACCATCTGCAGACATCGGCTAGTTAACAGCTTCCGAAATTTGAATAATCGTGCTTCAAATGTAATTAAATATTCAAGATATGAGCCTCTACAACTGCGGCTACGGCAATTTAAAATCCCAGACGAAACCTTCCATTTGCTGAAAAGCAATGGAATGTTGAGAACACGAGGAGTTCGCTCTGCTCAGGCTGTCTGAAACCGTCAACATAACATTGCAATCTCTGATGTTAACGGATACCTGACAACAATAAACCCGGCGAGAGAGGAGTGAATTTGCATAATCTGTGCTTAGTAAAGCGCTTTGGAGAAAATAAACAACCTCCCAAAACGCCCGGTGGGCTTGAAATCCTTCATTTGAATATTAGATCGCTAAAACATCGCCCTCACTTGTTACAACTACGGTAACTTGCATCTGAAAGGAATAGCGACGTTATTACAATCTCTGAAACATGGCTCAATACCACTGTCCCTTAAGCAGAGATACAAATTGAGGGTTACAATATATATACACAGGTTAGATCGACTTCACAAAAGAGGCGGCGGAATATGTGCCTATGTTCGAAGAGATCTTAAATCATCAGTACTGAAGGAATTTTCATAGATATTCGACCGAAATTTCCATCAGCTTTGGATAAACGTCCAGTGCAAGAAACGCAAATCAATAATAATTTGCGTGACATATCGCCCCGACGACTCTCCTTTGAGTTCCTTCGAAGAAGTACTTAAGCCCAGTTATATCCAAACCCAGTTATGTCCAAGCCTTGCTGCTTGACAAACCGATCACAATCCTAGGCGACCTAAACTGCGATGGTCTCAAGAAAACTGGCACTGAATTCAATGCTCTGGAGAAATTCTATACGGATATGAACTTAAAACAACTCATCACAAAACCAACCAGGATAACAGCGACCTCTCAATCCCTGCTTGACTTTATCCTAGTTTCCTCCAACAGTCAAGTGTGTGATAGCGGTGTAATACATCGATCAATCAGTGACCATTCAATCGTTTTTGTCAAAATCGCCAGAAATCGAGGACATTTTACTCCCGCATTCATTGGTCAGCGGATTGGAGTCGGATGAAAACAAAGATAGTGGTTAGGACAAGTTTCATATTAAATATCGAGCGATTTAAGTTCTGTGGACCTTCTTTATGGAGAAAAAAGCAAAACAAAAAAACAGCTTTGAACATATCTCTTGGTATTTTTAAGGCAGAGCGACTTATAGCAATTTGCTGTCTGATGTAATGCAAGGGACAATCTGTACAAAGCTTCAATGTCCATTCAAACTGGCTTTATTTGTAATCGTCTACGGATGTCAGACATTTTGGAAATTGTAGCTTAAACCACTTGCATTAAATAATGGGAAGATCTAGGCAAATCTTACTTGAAAAGGG